TTTTCTTTTTGTATGAAAGAATATATTACGCAACCTTTTCTTTCTATCAGTAATAATATTAAAAAAAATATTTTTAGTAAAGATTTCCTTTAAGTCCCTTTTTTGCTTCAAAATTTGCTAGCACTTAAAAGAATACACCAAAAACAGAATTTATAGTACTTTTAAAATTTAAATATATTGTAACAGATAGTTATGGTAAAATAAATTTAAATTTTTAAATGCAGTTTTCAACGTTGTAACCTTCGCATAGTAATAGTAACTGACAGAAAACTGTAAATTAAATTTTTAATAAATATTCATAAGCAAAGCATGAAATTGTATGCTCAACTTCCAAGGAGGAGCATTCATTAGGGAAAATTGTCATATATTAATCGTAACAAAGTAACAAAAATCATTTAACTTTTAATTTTGTAATATAACTTATCACCTAATTTTAAAATTTGTTAGAACTGAGCAGTTTTTTTATCCGAAAAATTAGTAAATTTCTTTCACTCTTATAACAATATCATTAACTTATGTTATTATTCTATAGTAGTGAAGAAGATATAATTGACTCTAAATATTTTATATTCCTTATATAATAAAAGTTTGCAAATATCTTAAGTAATTTTGTATATTTTTGAGCTCATACATGAACAAATCTAGGTTTGGGAACGAAATATCTAAAAGTGAGCAATTTGTAGAATCTAAGTCTTTAAAATGGTTTCTAATAATTGTAAAAAAATTCTTTCATGAAATGATTAGTCGAAAAATAGTCTCATGATAAAAATTTCGTGTGTTGAAACATTTTGTATTTGATTTTACTTAGTTCTTTTACGTTACATTAGTTTCGTTCTTCAGTGTTTATTCCATTAAATTACCATTTTGAGAAGACAATTGTATTTCTACAGTGTGACGTTTATGAGGTTGTGTTTCTTTATCATAGATTCTTTGTTCGTTCTCTCCCATAAACAGTACAATTTACTTTTCAGATTTTAACATACAAAATAAAGAGTTAAAGCCTTTAACAGACCTAAGAAAATTAAATGCATATTTAAATTATGTACACATTAATTCGTAAAAACGTAGCTGAAACGTAAGTTTCATGTTTAAGTGCTACAGTTCTGAAGAAAAGAAATTATTTTGATATCTTTCTCAATCACAATAATTTTGTGGAGGCTTAGTATAACAATTATACGTAATTTTTACTTATGTATATATACTTAGATGTACTATAACTCGAATTAGAAGAAACTGAGGGACAATCTTTAATCATTACTCACTGAGTACACATAATTTTGTTACCTGCAAACTACAGTTTTCATATGTGGGTGAATAAAAAATTAAATTAATCATTATAACAACACATATTCGCACCACACCTACCATTTACCTCAATTTATTTGTTATATTATTCAAGAATACTTTGTAGCTAGCACACAAAAAATTAATTTATAATATACTTCTTTTTAAATATTGCAAATATTGCGATTTCTTATAATTGCAGACATTATCTACTTATTAAAGTATATGTGTGGTAGTATCTAAATATTTCATATTTGATAAATTCCATTTAATATATATATTAATACATTTATAGAGATAACATTTAAGTAGTAAGTAAAAATACATATACCAGACATGCAATGTGCAAACTCAATCGAAAAGCATGCAAGAACAAGTTAAATCATGCAAATATACAACATGTACATAAAATCCACATTGGAAAATAGAATATATAAAACAGTTAGAAGAAAACATACCAATAGCAGAATAGTGTTAAGTTTAGAAATAGGAACTATGAATTAAATATGATAAGCAGCAGAAATTCATTCCTATCATAATAAGCAGCACACATTTCATCTGCATTTCACATATAATAACCACACATTGTTAGTAAAATCACAATTTACTTTTGCTTGGAAAAAAATCTAAAATTTGAGAATAAATAATCATAATATACATTAATTTATAAATATTTATTAAGGGAGAAATAAATGAATGTTAATTATTAAAGGATAAATCATAATCTTAATGTAATTTTTTTTTAAAATACGTAAATGTACGAAAGCAGTAAAAAAATAAACATACACGTAATACTCTTGCAAACAATAATGCAATTTAAAACTAAATAACAGATTTTACATTCATCAGACATATATTTTACATCTATCAGACTCAATATAATTAATAATAACACATTAAATAAAAAATTAATATTGCGAAAAAGACTTTACAAATTCACATGCGTCTCAAAATCTTCTGCAACTAAATAGTTTTAAAAGCGAATTTAAGAATTTAAAAGTGTCTTCAAATATGTTGTCTTGTTTATAATATTTTAATATTTTAAAAAGAGATTGAAATTTTGATTTTTATTTTTTATCTCAATAATATTTTGTGAATGATATGTGTTATATTTTATACAGAGTTTTAGAGTAACATTTAACTAAAAAGCTATTGATGATAAAAATTGTTAAACCTATAGCAAGATTTCAAGTTCTCGCATTTGTGTTGTTTTACAAGTAATCGTTCAAGTGGATTTAAATTTTAAAACTAACATACTTTAGTTATAACATGTAAGAAATACACAAGAGTTAATTTTTTACAGTTACTCGTAAATGAAAGAAATGGCTGCATAATACTGATATTCTCATTCAGAAGTGAAAAAAAATCTACGATATAATATATATAATTATTGAAACTGTTTAAATATTAACAAAAATTTAGAATACCTTAACGAACTTTTAATGAAATCAACAAAAATTTAATTTTACAACTCAACCTTAAATTTTCTTTTATGCTGAATTTAAAATCAAATATTAAGTATAAAATTAAATCTTAAAGTACTTTCTCTCCGTGTTCTCAATACAATTTTTAGAAATCTGCAACTCAAAAATTAAAAATATTTTCGCGAAATTTATACGTTTTATGTAATATCAAACTTTGTGCAATCATTAATTTAAAGGTTCTGAATAAATTATTGTTTTTCAGCTCTTTTAAATTTAAATTCTATATCATTTCTTACAGTTTCTTGGAAATATATTTAAGTTTTCAATAACCACTTTTGGTCAAAAAGCATTCAATTAACTATATTTAAAAAGGTGATTGTTGTTTTAAAAAAGTAAATTAACACCAAGGCTGTTCGCACATTTTAGACGACTTTGCTTTGCTATTAAAAACTGTCCGCTTGGAAAATTATTTTTAATTAAAACTATATTTTTGAAAGTGTAAATTATAGTCTGCTACTTGACAATCTTGTTTTCATGCAAAATGGCGCTTTTGAAGAAGCAATAGACGAAAGGCTAAGTTTGTGCTCTTTCCGAATAAAATTATTCGTATTCAGTTGTTAAAAATGCTCTGAAAGCCATGATGTTTCGGTATCTAAAGCAACGATAGATAGTATTGTCAATAAGAAAAGAAAAAACGTTTGGCTTTAAGGAGAAAAATTGTTCAAAATACATATCCAAGGAAAACACGTAACGTTTCGAATGTTATAAAGCTAAGAACTTTAATGTTAAAAGAAAATATGCGAATCACCGGACAGTTGAATAATTATTAAAATGCTCAGTGCCAACTGCAAACAAAGTGATTAATGCTGATTTGAATTTTAAAAGGCGAAAAAACGTAATGTACATCGTCTTCATGATATATCGCCGAAAACATAAAACGCACTGCATAATTCCCTATGAGAAACAATTACTCGGTCAAAAATAGAAATATGTTGTGACAATAGATGAATCTTGGGTATATTTAAATGACTGCGATAAAAGAGATCCATTATTATCATCAAAGAAATGAATAAAAGCTTAGAACATGGTTCAAAGAATCTAAAGAAAGTTTTTCAAAAGAATTTATGATTGTTGCTGGTTTTTGACGTAACGACAAATGAATGTTAAAGGGAGTGCAAAAAACTGTTAAGGTTAACTCTTTATATTATCAGGAATATATTTCATACAAGGTTTTCAAATGTGAAATATCTTCTCTTGACTTACAGTGCCCTCAATCAGAAGAACTGCATCAAGACAAAGCAAACAGCCGGCACAGCAAAATCCACTGTTAATTTCCTGGAAAAAAAAATGGAACAAGAAACGTATATAAAGGCCCTTCACTAACATTTCTACTAAATCTCATGATGTATCATCTACTGATTTTTATGCTTTTTGGACTTTTAAAAGGCGATTTGCCCAAACTTGACCTACAACCCTTCTTAAAACTTTGGAAAGTTGTTCAAGAAGAACGGGATTAAATACCTCTTTAGATGCTAAAATATACTTTATTATCTTTGAAATTACGGTCCAGAAAGATAGTGGAGAGTAAGGGTTATCAAATGGAACATTTAAAACACAACAATTTTAGATTAGATAAACTATTGTTACGAATTTGGTATTTAAAAAGCTAATGTTAGTTTAATTATAAATTAAATGGTTTTATTTCTCGCGCAGTGCAGCGCGTGACGAATATTAAAAGAAAGCTAAGCCGGAAAATTGAAAATACAAGAGCGCGTGCATTAAATAAATAAATATCTCTTTTTGATTTCGAGAAAGTACTGGAAAATTCTAGCGCGTGATTTTAAAATCTTATACGAGTAAAAGGAGGAAAACATCTCAGTTTGTAGCAGTTGCTTAGTTTGTTGTTGTTTAGAAAACTGCTGTTGTTGATTATAGCGAATTCGCGGATTAGCGTTCTTTAGCTGTTATGAATTACGTTCTATTGTACATTTGAGTAGTTAAAAGATAACTACTGTGAGATATTGTAATACTGCATGATAATTTGAGAAAATTTAAGCATTTTTGTTGTGATAATAATAAATTTTTGTTCATTTTTCATCGGATTTGTGCATTCATTTCATAACGAACCCGTACGTACGCAACACTATTTATGTTAAAACAATGAAAATCGTCTAAAATATGTGCGAGTGGCCTCTGCAACCTAATCATACTATAAGACACACGCATGCGGAAGAGCAAGCACACACGCACACACAATGCAGTATTTAATGTGAAATTCCTTGTTCAACTTACAGGAAAATTGTTTGGATCGGGAATTTTCGCTTCCTACGTCCGCGCCTGCTACCGATGTTCGAGGGGCAGCATAATCCCCCCTTGTCGACTGAGAGTCCGGGTCTTTCCCACAACTCACTGTGACCACATGAGTCCGGGAACGCTGCTGGATGGAGTCCGGAGATTCGGGAGTCAGTTCTTGGTCCTCTTGCTTTGTGCGAGCTCCGGCTACCTTCATTCGCATCTTCTTCAACCGATCTGGAGGTTGGGGAAATTTACATTCAAAAGCAGATAAATGAAAGACAGTTAAAAATCCTTGAACGTCCTATGCGATAAAAAAATTGAATCTTAGACTTGATGCATTTTCATTTAAGTTAAAACAATAAAGGGAACTCTGTCTCGAAGATGTAGAATTAAAAAGCAGATTCACAATTTGAAAAGAATTAAAATAAGTTCAGTTGGATTAAAATGCATTTTTCAGAGCTTAAAATCTTAAAACATTGCATGGATTTTCATAAAAATCTGTTTTAGATAAATTTAATCACTTTAGGAATAATTACGCGATAGCTGGTTGTTGCGGCAAAGCCAGCGAACTATTAAAAATAACATTACCCTTTTTGTGAATGGCATCACTTACGTTTTTTGTATTTATAAATGTTCTTTTGCTTGTTCTATACTTCATGTTTATGTTAGGAAATAAATAAGTATAAAATACTATCTCCTAATATCTGGTGCCGAAAAAACCATTTACGAAACAGGACCTTGAACTTATACTTCCTACTGTTGGATTATTCTTGCTGAAATATTTTACTTCCGACATTAAAACTTAGTTTTGTTTTTTGTTCTTTTCTACTATTCGGGCAATGGCGCCGACCGGTGAAGCTGTAGACAAAATGACGCAACTGAAACGAAAGCGGAAAGCCGTGCGAAGTAATGTCTCGCTTTTCTACTGAAATTGACACTTTGAACGATGATTTCTCAATTGAGAAAGTTCAATATATTTGTAATCGCTTAACAACTGCTTTAAATGATATGAAACTAATAGATAACGAAATTCACAACTTCCTTTCTGACGATGAATATGAAAGTGATAATTTGCAGTGTGAAAACTACATAGATACTGGTGAATCCGCAATTTTCAAAGCACGAAAAATTATTCAAAATAAATTATCGCCAACTCCAAATAATGTTACTGCTTCGAATATGGATACCAATGATTTAGCGATGACAATTGGCGACCCTCCTACTACAGTGCCAGTGACTCAACCATATACAGTTAAATTGCCAACAATTAAACTACAGTCATTTACAGGAGAAATTGAACAGTGGCAATGTTTTTGGGAACAGTTTAAATCTTCTATAGATGCCAATCCACATATTTCTGTTGTTGATAAACATGTTTTCCTCAGAGGTTATTTAGATGGTGAAGCTAAACGCCTTGTTGATGGAATTAGCGTAATAGGAGACACCTATGAAACAACAAAAAAATTGTTGGAGGAAAGATATGGAAATAAAGATCGAATTATCCAATCACACTTAGATTACTTAGAACATTTAAATGTTATTCAAGACCCATCTCCTACGCATCTAAATGATCTTTACATAGAATGTAACAGAAGAATTCAAGCTTTAACTGCTCTGGGTGAAAATATTGAAGCATACGGTAGAATCTAGTGCCAAAAATTATTCGTGCATTCCCCAATGATATTTGTTGCCGCTGGATTATCTATGCCAAGCGTGAAAAACTAAACGAAGGTAATATTACTAGATTGATGCAGTTCTTGGCAGAAGAAGTGGAAGGTGTAGTTGCAGCACAAAGAGTTAAAGGTACGTCTTTTTCTGATCACACCGTAAAGTGCACTGTAGAAAATTTTAATATCAATTCCAAAACAGTAAACAAACGTAAGAAAATTTCACCATTTTGTTCATTTTGTGATACTACAGGACATTGGCCTCAATATTGTGAAACTGTTACAGACTATGATACTCGTGTTCAGAAACTTAAAACTTCAAATCGCTGCTTTCTGTGTACTAACCGTGGTCATAGAGTTTCAAACTGCCCAAGAAAAAATACTGCACGGTGCACTAAATGCAAGAAAAGGCATCATGTTTCTATTTGTCCTCCTGTTGAAAACAATCAACTGCGGATAACTAACAGTGCTGTAAATCACATAACCTTTCCTAAAACAATTTTCACACATTTGCAAACTGCTCGTGTGTACGTTACTGGCCCCACAGGCATTACTAAATTAACACGTTGCATTTTAGATGGTGGTAGCCAAGCAAGTTTTGTTCACACAAACCTCATTGAAAAACTTGAAGCTTAAAGTTGTCAGTTCTGCCTCACTTTCAGTTCAAGCATTTGAATCTTTTACTTCACAAGAACAACGTAGATGTGTTCAACTGTCACTTTCAAGTTTGTGGAGCAACCAAGCATTTTTTGATCTCCGCATTTGAAAGCTCCAATTCCTATACTACACATCCTACTGCTCCACCAGAAATAGTTCACTTTGCTCAGAAGAAAAGATTGAGAATTGCTGATCCTCCGGATGACTCTTCACTGCCCATAGAAATACTTATTGGTGGTGATCATTATTGGCAAATTGTTTCCGCAGAAGCTCCAATCAAGCTTTCAGAATCTTTTGTTATGGTACCGTCAGTGTTTGGATGGGTTCTTAGTGGAACAAGAACACATACTACAATCGCTGAGAAGACTTCTGTCCATCAAGTTTGTGTGCAAGTTAAAACTGATTGTTTAAATGATCAGGTACCGTCGCTTCTGGGAATTAGACTCCATAGGGATACAAGATGCGCAGAAACGAAAAATGACTACTCGAGATGAAGAAATTTTTATCAGAATTTCACAAAACTTACAACACTGAAGACAATCGAAGAATTGTGTCTCTGCCTAGAAAACCATTGGTCACACACCTTTGCCTACAAACAAAATTATAGCGGAAAACAGATTTCATTCTCTTCAAAAAAGACTTGCATCTAGTGATGTGTTAAAGACACAATATGACAAATGCATGCTGAATTACATTGAACAAAGCATGTTGAAGTTTGTTCCATAGATGAATCCAATGAGAAGCCAGTATATTACCTTCCTCATCATGCTGTAAGAAAGAAAACACAATCTGAAACCAAGTGGAGAATTGTGTTTGATGCTTCCTCGCATGCTCCAGGAATGATTTCACTGAACGATACCTTGGAAGCTGGCCCGAATCTTCTTCCTGAATCTATTGGTTGTCTACTAAGATTTCGATTGCATGAATTCGCTGTTACATGTGATGGTAAGCAAGCTTTTTTACAGTTGTCACTACATAAAGAAGATAGGGACGTCACACAAAATTTTTCTGGTACAAATTAAAATCTGATTCATCTCAACCTACTACTTTTACAGATGAAATAACTGTTTACAGATTTACTCGTTTACCATTTGGCCTTACTTGCAGTCCGTTTTTACTCTGTGCTGCGACACGAGAATTGGCTGCAAAACATATCGCAGAATTTCCAATTGCTGCACCAATGATAGATAAACATCTCTATATGGATGACTTTCTTGCTAGTATGGAAACTGAATCACGCATTATAATGCTATATCACGAGATCAAGAATTTAATGGCTCTAATGAAATTGCCTATGGAAAAATGGGCTACAAACTCTTTGAAACTCAAAGATGTACTACAAACACATGAAGAATCTCACAAAACGGAAACAACTGTCTTAGGTATTGGCTGGAATACAACTTCTGATACTTTGAAGCATGCATTCAAGACTTCCCTCTGTGTTTCTACAGACAAACCACTTACAAAGAGATGGTTACTCCGCTGCATTGCTAGTTTTTATGATCCCTTAGGCCTTTTTTCACTGTTTACTATTCCTTGGGAAAATCTTATTCCAAGATACATGGATTCCTGGAATCAAGTGGGATGAATTACTACCTGCTAATTTATCAACTTTATGGTATGCAGCTGTGAAAGAACTTGATGACATTTGCTCCCTTCAAATTCCTCGATGCATAGGGATTTTCATCACATGTTCCTTTTGCTATTCATGTGTTTTGTGACGCATCTGAACGTGCCTATGGTTCAGTTCTGTACATTGTTACCTTTAAAGGTGACCAATCGAATGTGAATTTAGTGTGTAGTCGCAACAAACTAGCTCCTATAAAGAAAGTTACCTTACCTCGTTTGGAGCTCTTGGCCGCCCTGATGGGAGCACGATTGTTGCAATATTTCTGTGCTGAAACAAACATCTGTTCGTCAAATGCAACATTGTGGAGTGATTCTCAAGTTGTCTTAGGGTGGATACGCAGTGACCCCAACAAATGGAAAACTTTTGTTAGCAACAGAGTAACAGAAATTATTTCCTATACCAATCCTTCACAATGGAGACACTGCCCTGGCAAAGACAATCCAGCTGACAAACTTTCTCGAGGTGTTTCACCATCAACACTAAAAAACCTGGAAATTTGGTGGAACGGCCCTCCATGGTTAGTCAAATCTCTAGAATTTGGCCTCATTCTGATACTATTTCTCAAGATTACAGTCATAACTTCGAGGCAAAGAAAGAAAAAGTTCAGACCCTTCACATCGTATCTACTCAACCAATCATAAAGGCTGGAAACTACAGTTCTTACGTTCGATTGTTACGTGTAACACATCTTGGATTCTTCGCTTTATTCACAACTGTAGGAAACAAAAAAGTTAGTGGGTGAGTTACATGCCACAGAACTGAATCAAGCTCGTATTTATTGGATACAGACCGTTCAGAAAGAATCCTTTCCTTCAGAATATGAAGCTCTGTTGACAGGAAAATCACTCCCTACGAAATCAAGGATAAAACAATTTAACCCTTTTCTTCAAGAAGAATATTATACTTCTTGGTAGTCGACTACAATTTTCTGATTTATCTCATGCTGAAAAACATCCCATATTATTGGAAGGTTCTCATCCTTTTACAAGCCTACTGATACGCCAAACACATTTACGAATGCATCATCTCGGTGTTCGGATTGTACTTTCTCAGCTTCGTTCAGAATATTGGATATTAAGAGCAAGGACAAGCCATTAAAAAAGTGATAAAGACTTGCCTTCCATGTAAAGTACTGAAACAAAAGAGAAGTGAACAGATAGAAGCTCCACTACCAGCTGAGCGAATTCAAAAGTCATCTCCTTTCGAAACTACCGGAATTGATTTTGCTGGACCACTCTACGTAAAAAATAATAACTCCGTTACAAAAGCCTTACATTGTC